TAAAATTAAAGAGAAAAATAAATAAATAAATAATAAAAATAAAAAATAAAACTGCAAAATGCTGGTGAAACAAATCAATGAAGACCTAAATAAATGGAGAGGTATACCATGTTCATGGATCTGAAGACTAAACATAGTAATGATGTCATTTTGCCTAAATTGATCTGTAGATTTAATACAATTCCAATCAAAATATCAGCAGAATTTTTTTATGTAGATGAGCAGATCCTAAAACTTATTTTGAAAGACGAAGAACTAGAATAGCTAAAACAATTTTGAAGAAGAACAAAGTTAGATAATCTTATTACTCTATTTTAAGATTTACTATAAAATTACAGTATTCAACACAGTGGGGTATTGGCAAAGCTAGATTAATAGACGAGAATAGAAAGTCCAGAAAGAGACTTACACAAATAAGGCTGGCTCTTTTTTTTTTTTCACAATAGCATGAAAGCAATTCAATGGCAAAAAATTGTCTTTTCAAAACATGGTGCTGAAACAGTTGGACATCCACATGTACAAAAAAAATTTTTTTTTTGAAAACCTTGACCTAAGTTTCATACCTTCTACAAAAAAAAGAAAAGAAAAAAGTAAAGCATGAAACTATAAACATTTGAAAGAAAACATAGGCCAAGAATTTTTAGACATGAGGCCAAAAGCCTGATGCATAAAAAAAATTTTATTTGACAAATTAGACTTCACCAAAATGTAAAACTTTTGCTCTGCAAATGACAGGAACCCAAATGACATTATTAGGAGAATGAATAGACAAACTACAGACTGGGAGAAAAATATTTGCAAATCACATATCCAGCAGAGGACTTGCATCCACAACATATAAAAAATTCTCAAAACTCAATAATAAGAAACAAACCCAGTTTAAACATGGGCAAGAGACTTGAACCAAAGAAGATATACGAATGGCAAATATGCACGTTAAAAGATGTTTAACATTATTAGCCACTGGGGAAATGCAAATTAAAACCACAATAAGATACCACTACATAACAAAACAAAACTAAACCAAACTAATAATACCAAGTTCTGGAGAAGATGCAAAGCAACTGGGGTACATTGTTGGTGGGAATGTAAAATGGTACAACCACTCTGGAAAACAGTTTGGAAGTTTCATATAAAGTTAAACATACATTTACACATGATCTAGAAATCCCATTTCTGGGTATTGACCTCAGAAATAAAAAACTTATGTTGTTCACACAAAAACCTGTACAAGAATATTTACAGTGACTCATAATAGTTAAAAAAAAAAAAAAAAAGGAAAACAAGCCAAATGTACTTCAGCAGGTGAATGGATAAACAAACTGTGATGGATCATATTTCATATGTTGGAATACTACTCAGTAACAGAAAGGAGCAAACTACTAATACGTGCAACAATATGGATGGATCTCAAAAACATTATGCTGAGTGAAAGAAGCCAGACATAAAAGAGTACGTACTGAATAATTCCATTTATTTGAAATTCTAGAAAAACAAAACTAATTTATAATGACAGAAAGCAGATCAATGGTTGCCTGGGGATTGACTGCAAATGGGCAGGAGGGAGCTCTTTGGAATGACAGAAATGTTCCATATCTTGATCATGGCAGTGGTTACATGGGTATATACATTTATCAAAACTCAAAGTTGGGGCCGGCCCGTGGCTCACTCGGGAGAGTGCGGTGCTGA